GCCAGACGAAGAAATTGAAATAATATCTTAAAACAGTGTTGTCCAAACTTGGCCACTTTAAGATGAGTGGACTTCAACTCCAAGAATTCCCTAGCCAGCCATGCTGGCTGGGGAATTCTGGGAGTTGAAGTCCACTCATCTTAAAGTGGCCAAGTTTGGACAACACTGTTCTAAGATATTATTTCAATTTCTCCGTCTGGCCTTCAGACTCGAGATGGTGGTCTCCCATCTAAAGACTAACCAAGCCCAATCCTGCTCAAGCTGGCTAGGGGCTTCCGTCTAGTTCAGTGTTTCTCAGCCTGTTCCCCTGTTGGCTGGGGAATTCTGGGAGTTGAAGTCCACACCTCTTCAAATTGCCAAGGTTGAGAAACACTGGGCTAGTTGATGTTATTGGGGGTGGCAGAGTAAGCAGGACTGTTGGGGGGGGGGGAATCAAATGATGTAAAAAGTAGGTAACAGTCAAACTTGCTTCCTGATTACTTCTTAGACAGGTCCGTGCAGTTTTCTTGGAAAGCACAGACAAGTAGTTTGCCATGGTTTCTTCCAGGAATTTTTCCGACTTCCCAGACCAGCCTGCAGCCCCCAGATTTCCTGATGGTCTTCCACCCAAATGCTAACAATCTGATTCTGCTTAGCTTTTTCCAAGACCAACCAGCATTGCCACCTGCTAAACAGCCCCATCTACTCCCTTAGAAGGCACCCTGGCCTGTCACTGAGGTGCCACCAACATTCCCAAAGAGGGTCTGGATCTTGCAATACGCTCACCTGGGCAGAGAAGTCAATCAGCTTGGGGAACGGCTGCTTGCGCCCTTCATCACTTTTTAGGAAATCCAGCAAGCTACCTGTGGAGAAGGAGGAGACCCTTTAAGGCAAGGTGCGCATTTCTGGGCCTCCCAAACTTTTCTCGTTTTGAGGAGACAAAACTTACTTAGGCTCTCAGTTCAGCCCCAGGAATGGGCCTCCAGCTTGAAAATAAAGCGATGTAGAAGGTCTCTCTCTCTCTCCCCTTCCACCTCTGAGATGCCTCCTTTATCATTCAAAGATCAAACCCACCTTCCCCCCTTGATGCCTGCAGATGTGTTGGGCCTGGAGCTCCCCAAATTCCAACATGGCCAACAGCAGAACGTTGCCCCAGCCACACAACCCCAAATCACTTAAGTGGAGACCTGTGGGGGTTGAACCCAGGACTTCTGCTTGCTGAACAGATGCTGACTAACATTCTCCCTTGCTGCACTGTGGCAGAATGCTGTCTTGGGTCATGCACACCTGTCCAGGTCAGGATCAGAGCTGGCCTCCAGCATCTCTTGTGAGAGACTCTGAATGCACCCCCTGGGTCTCTTCTGGGTCATCCTGCCCAGGCTCTGTGCCCTTGATGCGCTGCACTCTGTGCTGAGTGTCGTGATTCACAATGGAGAGCCACACACGACTCTTGGGCTCCAAGGACAATGCTCCCTTCGGAGCCTAGGGTTCTGCCCTGCTCTTGAATCTGGCAACTAAAGTGTTTGCTGGATCCTTGCCATCACCCTAAGATATTCCATGCCTTCTCCCCCGTGTGAACCCCTTTCTAAACACACCAAACCAATTCTCCTAGATCAATGTTTCTCAACCTTGGCCACTTGAAGATGTGTGGACTTCAACTCTGGGGAATGCTGGGGAATTCTGGGAATTGAAGTCCACACATCTTCAAGTGGCCAAGGTTGAGAAACACTGTCCTAGTTTCTGCCTCTTAGCATTGCCTGGCCTACACTTCCTTGCTGATTTCTTAATTGTCCTGCTCCTCCACACTCCAAAAGCCACCAGCTGACCAGCTGCTCTGTGACATGCTGCCCCTTGCACACCTGGGGACCCTATCCTGCATTTCCAATTCTGCATCTCACTTCCTCCTAGCAGCAGGACTGGGAGAAAATGTTCTGTAGCCAAATCTTTCCCTTTATCAGCCCAGTGGTGAGCATTTGACCATATAAGGAGGCTGAAGGCACTTTTAACTTCTTAGTAACCAGCCTAGATTATGAACCCTTCCATGGCTTGAAAGCTGACCAGCTATTCTCTTTCTTCTGCATTCAGGGAACTCCAGGGCTACTTAGTGCATCCTTCCCTAACATGCAAATAATTTTGCAATACAGGTAGTCCTCACTTAACGACCATTTCTATAGTGCCTGTTCAAAGTTACAATGATGCTGAACGAAAAGGACTTACAACCAGTCCTCGCACTTACAACCATTGCAGCATCCCCACAGTCATATGATTGCAATCCGGGTGCTTGGCAACCAGCTCACACTTACAATGGTTGTAGCATCCCGGGATCTCATGATCACCATTTGCGACCTTCCCAACTGGCTTCCGGCAAGCAAAATCAATGGGGAACGGTGTGATTTGCTTAACAACCATGTGACTCGCTTAACAGCTGTGGTGATTCAATTAATGAGCGGTGCAAAAAAGATAGTAAAGTCGCACGCAACTCACTTAACAACCACCCTGCTTAACAATGAATTTTCCAGTCCTTATTGTGGTCATTAAGCGAGGACTACCTGTAATTATGGAAAGTTTGTTCTGAATCCTCTGCATCCTCTGCATATTTATTCAGAAGGAAGTTCCTCCTATTAATTCCCCCCCGCCCAGCAGCAAACTCGCATTGGATTACACCATTTGTGAATAAATACCCTTTTGTTAGCAGGGTTGATTTTTCTCCCCTCTCAGTGTCTCTCCTCTTCCTATATTATATCTTGTCACTTTCTCGCCTGCCCTTGATACACTGCTCTCACCTCCTCACAGCCACGTGTGGCATCCGACACAGCTTCTGTGGCTCGTGTCCCTTGCATGCATGTTGCATGGCTACAAAATGAAGAACTGAGACCCTTACATGTTTACAAGAGCAAGGTCTTCCGCCAATCCCAGGAGTGCCGAAGATGGCAAGCAGGACTATGCGTCTTCACGATGCTATCAGGGAACCAGTCAGAACTGACGGCATGACTAGGATAAAGCCAGTCCAGAGGGAGGGCAGTACTTCCTGCCCTCACTCTAGCATGTTTGCATGCAAAAACAAGGAGAGGAAACTCTGCTTTTGTGCTGGGAAAAAACCTGCTGTATCTTGCTCTCCCCAACCTGGGCCTTCTCAGCCAGTTGGGGCTATACCTCCATGGAGGTGGAAAATCTGGGGATTTGTAGTCCCAACACATCTGGAGGACCCCAGGCTGAGGTAGGCCACGGTGCGTAATGTTGGCTGTCACCTTTCTCCATGAATTCAGTGATGATGTAAATGGGTTCTTCCTTGGTCACCACGGCATACAGTTTGACCAGCTTGTCATGCTGCAGTGTCTTCATGATGTTGGCCTCTTCCAGGAACGCCTCCACCGACATGCTCCCCGGCTTCATGGTTTTCACAGCCACTTTTGTACGCGCGTTATAGGTGGCTAGGAGGTGAGAAAGGCACGCTTCAGAAACACAGATTTGCAATCAGGTCTCATTCCTGACCTAGGGCAGGACAACAGTGTGACTTGCAGTGTGCTCAAGCATGGAAGGAAAGCAAAATTTGGTGACCTGCCAAACACGGAGTCATCCGTTTGAGATGGGCAGCCATAGAAATAGAATAAATAAATCAGTAAGGTCTCAGCTGGGTGTTGTGGTGCTGGTTTTAAAGTGTGTGGCCTTGCAACTAAAAAGACAGAACCGACCATCTAGGGGCAACATTTGGTGCAATCCTGCTGCAAGAGCATCCTGCATGCAGAATACTAGCCCAGCACGTCCAAGATACGGCTCTAGGCTTCCCCACTCGTTTTCTTCATGCAAGGCATTGCTTTTGCCCAGGGAAATACGAAAACGTGCATTTCACCCTCTGTGCTTTTGAATCAAAGGAACACATCTCTGAAGGCTCTACCCTGTGGTTTTCACACTGCCGCCCCCAGAGGAAGGCTCTTTGGGGAGAATCGTGCAAAGTGTTAGCATCAAAACCAGCCGAAAAGCTCCTTGTTAGTGACTGGAGAGCTTTTATGGACTTTTTTGCTGAAAACAGAAAAAAATGAACTTGTGATTTATGAGTCTGATGATTAGAAAAGGTAGAATGTGGAAAGAAGGGAGCTGCGATGTAACTTTAGACCAGTGTTTCTCAACCTCAGCAACTTTAAGATGTGTGGACTTCAACTCCCAGAATTCTGGGTGTTGACGTCTGCAGCTTCTGCCTTTTGATAAAATTGGTTCATCGGAAAAGGTGGAGCTACCAGATTCCTTCGGATCCAGGGGTTTTTATTTTTATTTTATTTATTTATCAAAGTTACAGGGCCATCCATGTATCCAGTGCAACTCTGGGTGGCAAACCAAATCAATTTTTTAGCTCTTACAGAGGGGATTATGGACTCTGCAGACACCCAAGAGATGGCTTGGATGTCTGGAAGAGAGGAGGGTGAATTTTTCAGGGGTTATTCTTTATGGTTATCAGTGGAACTTCCCTATTCAGAGGCAGTCGATCTGACACCTGGAATGCCTCCCCCCTGGGATTCCCTGAGGCACAGCCACTGCAGGACCAAGGCTGCTGGGCTAAGGAGGGCCCAGTTTGGTCGGATCCAAGCGCGGGGCTTTGGTGATCTTACCCATCCAGACTTCTCCAAACTGTCCGGCGCCCAGCTTCTTCTCCAGTTTCAGGGAGGTCCGTGGGATCTCCCACGCGTCCTTCTCCCATGGTTTCTCGGGCTTCGGCAAAGCACAGGGGTGGGTCAGCTTTTGGCACAATCCATCGGCTTGGCCTGAAAGAGAACCCAGAGGAGATTCAGCGTCGCACTTTTCTGTCACCCGAGACAGCTCTGAACGAGAGGACGGAACTGGGGCTGATGTTTATCTAGATCAGCGTTCCTCAACCTTGGCAACTTGAAGATGGGTGGACTTCAACTCCCAGATATGCTGGCTGGGGAACTCTGGGAGTTGAAGTCCACCCATCTTCAAGTTGCCAAGGTTGAGGAACGCTGGTCTAGAGCATCAGAACCCAGATCTGGCTACTCAGAGATTGTCTTTGGACAGTACACTTATCTGGGTGGCTAAATTAACCCATTTCCCAGGGTCACACATGCATTAACTCAACGGGCTGGGTTGCACCTGATTTGCTTAAAAGCTTTAGCATGTTCTGCAAAGACCTCACAGTCTCACCAGTTATGCATGTTGTGTGAACCCAACCACACAGTATATCCCACACACACATGCATCTTTCTCACAAAGAACCCCCCCCTTCCTTTCTGATCAGCTGTGGGGGGGGAAGGAATGATAAGGCCCCCATGGGCTGCAGCAAGAGCACTGCGGGACCATTAGACCCTCCCTTCATACAACCTCCTTGACCTGGTAACTGAACTGACCCATTTTCCTGGACCTTGAACCTTCTGCTAACCAAGTAGGCTGGCTTGGTTGGTGGAACATGCTAACCCCCCAAAACATTCACCAAGGTTGATATTAACCACATTTATTTTTATTAATTTTGTTAGATTTTCACCCTGCCTTTTCTCCATCATTAAAGGCAGTTTATGGAGAAATCTCCCTTTAATTCCTACAAGAGCCTGCCCCCCCCAACCCCCCATTTCACACAGAAGCAACTGTGAAAGAGTTTAGTCAGGTTATGATCTCCTGTAGGATAAGTTTTATTTTTACAGAATGCCAGATCATCCAAGGATCCTCTGCATTTTTGCACCAGTTTCTTGATTGCTGTCAGGCTTGCAAGGTAGTCCAGTCACTCTGAAATACTAGCTCTAACTTTATTGTAAGGTGACATTAACAGAATCTTGCAAGTCTGAAAGTACATCTCTCCCCCCTCGCCTTTGCAGCCCAAGAAACTAGGCAGGGTCCCTTCTGAGACGTTTGCCAGGCGCCCATTCCTGCTGTGGGCTCAGCTGCCTCTTATCTGATCGCTGCCTAGTCTTTTGCTTTTCCTCCTGTCTCCCAAGGTCATTCCCACAGACCATTACAATTGGAAAGAGGCTGCATCACCCTCTCCCGACCCCAGTTTCTTGTCCAAGTCTGCAAAAAGGGTTTGATTTTTAACCCTGGATAATAAGGATGGAACTCTTTTCCCCCCAGTGCAGAACACAGCACAGCTGATGCCGGCTTTGGAGGCTCACCTTTATAATGGCTGACCAGTTCCTGCAGAGTCCTGAAGGTGTTCCGTGGGGAGATGTAGAAGCCCCCATCGTCCAGGGTCCGAATCTTGTAGTGTTTCACCACATCCACTTTGTTGTGGGAATCAAAGTCTCTTACGGAGAGGGAGTAACATCCTGGACCGAGAGAGAGAAAGAGGAGCTAGAAACAAGGACAATGTTTTACCAACCTATTGAAAGAGAAGCACATGTGGGCAAATATGAAGTCTCACTCGCTCACACCAGCATTTTTGCACCCTGCCTAAATAGGGGGCGGTCAGTGGTCAGGCTGGCTTCTGGCCAAAGAATCAGCTCCAGAAGTTAACTGCAAATGTCCACCCTACAGATGAGGCCTGTTCTTCATATGGTCTAGCCACTTCTTTCATGGGATTGCAAAACTTGTTTGAATTTAAAGCAGAAATGACCTTTGTCAGGTCACAGTAAGTGGCGGGGCCCCGCTCAATGTGGCCAATCTCAGAAAAGTTGAGCAAGGTGGGACCAGTTTAGTACTCACGTGGGAGACCCCCAGGAATGCCAGGGACTGCAGGCTAGGCTGGGGCTTTGTAAAAAAAAATATCTCAAAGCAGCACGGGAAAGAAAACTTCACGGCTGTCTCCCACAATGACTGGAGCTGACCCTGACTTGAAATTCTTTCCTTTTTCTTGGGAGGGTGCAATCCTGCCACTTTCCTTCTGGCCTCTCCTTGAGGAGAGAGAAATGGGTCCCCCATTTCTTTTCCTCTTTTGTTCCCAATCCCTCTCTGGAACTGCTTTTTCCCCAGTGGGTTTAAAGATGCAAAGATCAGAGGGTGGGAGAAAGACCTGCTGGGCATAAACGCCACATCCCAATTTTCTCTCTCCCATTCTGGTTTTTCAGAGCCTTAAAATCTTGGACAGGGTTCTCCGAGGTAGCGTCCCCCAAGTGTGTTGGACTACAACTCGCATCATTCCCAGCCAGGATGGTTCACTCTTCTCTTGCTCTTCTTGAGTTCGCTGGCTGAGACCTCACCTCCCACTTCGCAATGAGAATCAGTCTGGCCAGTTTCTTCGTATGAAACGGCAAGTGCCGCGATCTTCTCCAACATCCCAAGCAGCCTAAGATCTTGGCAAAAAAATCAGGAGGAGGCCAGTTTTAGTCCCATTTCCAGTTTTATGCAGAGGCCGCAGCTTCCATGAGCTGCATCTCCATCAGAGGCGTGAAAGCTTCAGCCTTTGAATAAAATGGATTAGTCAGAAAAGGGCCTTCTCCAGATCTTTTGCCACCATAGACCAACGCAGCTGTCCTCCTCCAACATCTAGTGTCTTAGCTGACTCTGGGTGCCTAATCAATCAATGCCAATGCTTGATGCCAAGAGACATCATCAGGGAGTGACCTCTTTCCATGAAGCAGCCCCGCCCCCCCAAATGCTTCTCATGAGATGCAGGTGACTTCTTAAGGAAGAGAGATCCCGCATCTGAAATAGAAGTATCTTCTCTCAGTAGGTGGCAGTACCTAACTGACCTCAGAAAAGCTAAGCCAGGCAGAACTGGTTAGTATTTGGGTATGAGAGCCCCAGGAAACCCCAGGGCTGATGGCGAGAGCAGGAAGTTGAGAAACAGAAGACAGAAGTTTGCAAGGAGAAGGGACTTCTGCACCATTGCCAAGAAACTCCACGTTCATGGAGTCTCCAGGATTCAAACTCAACTCAGAGGCGGCTTTGTCCCAAACAGAGAGAGACAGAATCACGATGCGCCCCTGGAGCTTCCCAGATGCATCAGCAATGGGCAATACAGCCAAAAGACACGAGGTAGGAAAAACTGGCTCTGAAAAATAGATTTCTCTTCCATAAGAGAGTGGATCTACCTTCCTCCCACCCCAAAGGGATCTACCTTTGGTTGTCTCACTGTCTCGGATCATGAACGACCCAATAAAGTTTCCCGGAGCCAGCAACTGACGCTCGGCGTCCTTCCGGCTGTTGCCTTTCAGAAACCACCTAAGAGGACAGCAAGGAACAGATGGTTAGAAGGAAATCGTGAGCGAAATTCTTTCTCAGATTCTGCCTCCCAAAATCACTTCTCCAAGAACCTGGCAGGAAAAAGGTTATTGGAGAACCTTTTAAGAACAGGCTACCTTTGCCTTTTTACAAAGAGGGGGTCTGGCCAAGAACCGGCACTCTTTCCTTGGAAGTCAAGAGAAGATCTTTGATGTCTTTTTCTCCATCCCATATATTTGGAGACGCGAAGTTGGGCATCTTATTATGTTTTTATAATGAAAAGCTTGCCTCTTCTTTAACAAACAGGGTTGATTCAACAATCTATGCTGAAATGAATACTGCTGGGCCTTGACTGTGGATTTCTACATTTCTAAGCAGTCACTTCTCCCATCGCTAAATGGTTTCAATTCTGGGCGAAGTTAAAAACACTATTAATCATGCGATGGGGCCAGATTCATTCATGTTGAGGGGAGGATTCTCTTATGAATCCACAAAAGGGTGCCTGGAGCCAAGTCTGTTCTACCTACCTCATGGTGGCTTCCATCGGAGTTTCCCAGCCTGGGCATCTTCCAGATGCGTGGACTCCATCCCCCTGAATTTGTCAGTTAGCACAGCCATTGCTGAGAATTTTGGGAGTCGAAATCCTTGCATATGGAAGTTCCCAGGTACAGAAACACTACCTCTGGGGCTGCTGGGAACCACCGTTCCCCATCATTGAAAAGGCCACTCCAAAAGGCCAGCACCGTATCCATCCTTGGAGAATTCCAAGGATTCTCCTGCAAAGCCAGGATCCTTCTCCTCCTGAGCTACTTTGCTGCAACGGGGGCTCTCCCAAAGGACCAAAGCCGATGTGCAGCTCTGTAGTCCAGAGCTGAAATCAGGTGGGCATCCAAGATACAAGTGTTCTGCTGAGAAGATCCCCCCATTCAATAAGCCGAGAGAAGACTTACTCTTCCGTCTCCAGTGAGTTGACCTTGGCCACATAATTGCTGGGAACGTAGCCCACTTTCCCCGTCGACAGAGCTTTTGCTTGCCACCACTCTCCCGACCTGGAGAGAGGGGAGGCAGAATTAGGTACATTTCCCAACTTCCCCAAAACTCAGCAAGTAATTGGTGCTCTCATGGGAAGCTCTAGGTCAGTGTTGTCCAAACCTGGCCACTTTAAGATGAGTGGACTTCAAATCCCAGAATTTCCCAGCCCGCCTGTCCGGCCTGGGGGGTATTGGGGGTTTGGGTCGCCCACATTTCAAAGATGCAC